CTATCTCTGCACTATTTTTATCTACAACACTAGATATCTATTATTAGCAATATATCAAAATAACATTAATGAGTGAAACTTCGTAGAATATTGAATGGCGTTTGTTCGTCTGGCATAATATAGTAAAACAATTGTTGGCCGGGTCACCCGATAAAGTAGAAAGAGCCGATAACCGGTGCATTATGAAAGTACAACACCGCTACTGTACGATAAATTTTCTATAGAACTGCGTTGTTTGTGGCCCTATTAGCTGATAAGTTAAGTTTCTAAGGTTAAGGAACTTGTCTCTGGTTGTGAAAGCGCAGCGGCGCGGGCGCAGATGCATTAGAACTGCTTACGATGCGCTCGCTGCGTTGGATCCCGTTATTGACCTGACTCTACTGGGTACTAGACACAAGTACTTGCTTATATGCGCTACGAGCTTAGAATTCTCCCTAGATACAGCCGAGCCAGGGCCTGTTGCACTTGCAAAACAGCGTCTTTCTATAAAATAAGATGTTTAACCTATTTATCGTTATGCTGGAAACACGTATACAGGCAGCCATTTCTAGGTTGTTCGCGTTGTAAACGTTTCCATTTATTTACCTATTTCAAGAAGTAAGTAGGTATGACTGTTGGAATTACTTATTACACAATGTTCTCACAATGACGTAAACACTTGAATATTATTCGCAGGTAACGTGCTATACGGTTTTTTCCTTTACTTCTAGCATGGATTAAGGTTTTATTCATTCGTTGGCACTTTTTCTTTTAAATATATTATACACAGCTAATTTACTAAACGATGTTAACATGTTTACAAAGCACGTGCCTTTTATGTCGAAGGATTAAAAACTTGTGTGCCAGCAGCTATTCTTTGATCTGTCAGAACACCAAACAGCCTTTTATACCTACTTGTGCGCAAATGAATCAGACGATGATTTTTACCCGACTGCCAAAGAAGGAGGGTAATGTTTTTCGAGTGTATGTAAGTATGTATGTATGTCTTTTCCTTTGTGACCTCCTGTAGCCTAAACGGCTTGATGGATTTTGATGTATGAGGTATCGTTAGATTTGTCTTGATTACGGGAGTGTCATAGGATACATTTTATCCTAAAAGTCCCACGGGATAAAGACATAATAATATTTTTTCTAAATTTCCCTTTAAAAAAATATGTATGCGGTATCATTAGATTCATTTCAATCACGGGAGTAACGTTAAATAAAAACAGCTAAAAAGTTATAAATAAAAAAATTATTATTAAAAAAACAAAATACCCGACTGCACACTAAAAAAAGAGTAAAACAAGCCCCACAATACAAATTTACTGAATATAATTTATAAATGTTGATGGAAAGCATCGCAGGCGGGGACCACCTTGACCGCCACCAACGAAAATTCTGCTAAATGGTGCACAACAGAAATGACTATAAATAAGCCTCTGTTGGTTTTTTTAATAATAATTTTTTTTTCATTTCAATTCATTGCTTTATATGTTGCTGTATTCGTGTAATAATTTCTATGAATATTGTACGTGTTTGCATCGAAGGCATTAATTGGCTTTCCCTTCTAATTCGCTGGCCTTCACAATCCAACTAGGTACGTGGCTGGGCCCGTATGCTATCAGTTATCGTTGAATCTAGGCCATGTTATCGACTTGTGGTACTGCACCTGCTACTTGCCGACAGTAACGCTCCTGCTGTAATTAGTGTTTAGTCACGGCCTGTAGATGAAGGTGGAACGAATCATGATCATTTGTTAACCAAATAACTTTGTGCTGGGAGTTTGTACCGGCCAGTTGAGTGTTTTTAGCAAAATGTCTCAATGGTCACAACTTGGATTTTGTAATGTTGTGCTTGTTCACTTTTGAAGGATGAGCGCGATTTTAACCAGTAATTAGATCTCCCGTATTAATTAAATCATTACACACGTTACTAAAGACTTACGTTGGATCTAGCGCTTTACAAACGCAACACATTACTTGTTCGACCTGCGTGAAATCAGTGTAAAATGTGTTAACACTATGTTAAGATAAGAAATTCTATTCAAATATCATTCTTTCATGAAATATATAGTTATCATATGTGTGTTATGTTTGCTTATACTATTAATACATATTATACTGACGTCGTCTATTTAGCTATTTTCATTTCTACAAATCTGACTCAAGTGTAGGCGCGTCGAAGCCCACTGCCACATACCTAGATAAGTTAACATTGTACAACGTTTTTTGTATCGGGATTTTTTCAACCTGCTACTGAGTTCAGATAACATACATTCTAGAGTGTATGACACACTTTCAGGGTATATTGATAAGCATTATCATGGTGAGGCAACATGGTGAACCACGTCGGCTTTCTTACAATGTAAGGTTACTTTGTTTTTTTTATTTCATTCCTTCGTTAATTGACTGATGCACCGTGCATTTGTTGTTCATAAATTGTGTACAAAACACCATTCTCTATAATTGAAGATAATATTTACTAGAACAATTCTATCGTGGTTACGACCAGAAATTGAGGCCAATTTGTGCCTATACTCCGTGTCCAGGGCAATTGGATGTGGGCAGACACCACGTAGGTGGAGGCCTTGCAAAAGACTGTTACGCTTAGACAATTAGTTTCTATTCTCACCTCGGAAAAATAGACTCTATACCTTTAATAATTCAGCACGGATTCGCGTCCTGGACGGATGTTGACGAATTTGGCGATGTTCCGAATTAATTATGTCTGTGCCGATGGTCTGTCACGTAGCTAACCAAATATAGTTGCATGTATAACGTCTTCCACCTTGTATGGAGGTGCCCCAGGAAGGAAGAGGTGTGAGTGAACCCGCGCGTGATTTAGCCACACGGGAACAATGGTGTTTTTATTCATTACTTCAGCATTGAAATGCAATTTGGGGACGTGCTTCCGATGTTCGCTTGTTATTTGGGAAGTGCAGCGACCACGCTTCGCGATGTTCTTCCCACGTCAATGCCCTTCTATAAAGTTAGAATTTTAATTCCGCCATTTAAATGCAGACCGAATAAAATAGACAGACAATAAAAAAAAACTAGACGCATCGCAGACATTATTGTGTCATAATACCACATCGTAAATGCACCAATACTTACATCGACATCAAAATCAATTTTATTAATTCGATATGTTATAATTTGTCAATAAAATGTTAAATATATAGTTTATTGACTTTTTTTATTTAATTTACTTTCAATATAAAATTTCACAAAATTGCCAATATTAGAATTTATGGTAATATTATGCAGTTGATATCTAAAAACATTCAAAAATTATGTATTTCTAAAACTTGTCTAATTTTGAGGCGTTAATTGGGGTTATTTAGTAGTTCTGGGGATCATCATGAATCATTGTCGTCAAGTGCAATATATTTGTGTTTTGTGAATCATAATATGAAATGCCGTGGTAGCGTTCATTGCAAATATTATTTTAGGCGATCTCCCCCAGGTCGTTTCTAAATCGCCAGTCAAATCAGCCATCTGTTTTTTGATGGTGTAATTAAAGGTAATTTGGTCATTAGCAATGTATGACATCGCCGTCGAAAAAAAGTAGTACTCTAAATTTATTAATACTATGATCCATTTCTGAAAATAAGATTTATTACTCTGCTACCTTAATTTATCGGAATGGGTTTTTGAACCATTGAAATAGAAGTATGGTCGTTGATTGATTTATTTTATATTTTACACTCAAATAAAATAAAGTATCAGCTTTCCTTAAGTCTAATTTATTTAGCGTCTAGAGTTGAAAGCTTGCGATTTTTTTCTGACACGAGACGTGACTAAATTAATATTATTTAAAAACTTTACTAGCAGCAAAAACAAGCTTGTTCAGATTCTGTATAATTAATCAAAAAGTGTTCAATTTAATAATAAATTCGTGCTATGTTCTGTCTTTCTGGAAATATTAACGATAATAGCGACAAGTTAAGGAACTTTTTTTCTGTGCGTGAGTCACGTGGCACGTGCGCCGGCGCATATGTTTGCGACAAGACAGGATACCGACTCAAGCGGCGTGGTGTCAAAATATAAATAGGCACCTGCTCTTATTATGTGTAACCTGCCTAGTACTGATTAATTTATTTTAACTAATAATATTTATTTTCAATTGTTATTAATATGCCTAGTCATGCCCTATGGGCAAATTATACAAGATTGGTTATAAGAAATTAAATTATAAGTATTGCTTCTTTACGTCTGTTCCGGGTGAGGTCTTCATGAACATTTTGAGAACAGATAGACAACAATATTAGTTAGAACCTCGGAGTAATTAATTAAGTTATAGATCTAGAGTACCGTCCCTACTTCGCATGGATGTGACGATGTCAACAAAGCGATGCCAAATTACGAATTAGCCATCTACTTTTTTCTTGGCCTTACTAGAAACAGCATAAAAAGAGTTGTCAGAATCTGGCTAGCGATCACGTGATGCCTTAACCAAAGGGTTTCATTTATAAATATATAGATTCACTTAAATGCTTCTTGTTTATTTACCAGCGCTATGTGTGAGTTCCAATAAATCAAGGCAACAATTGCAGTATTTATCCTCATTATTTGAAATGTCCATTTAAATAAATTTATTTTTGGGACGTCCCTTCTGTAGCGTGTCTATAATTATTGCAATAATATTACCTCATTTGCTAAATCATGTTCGTTTTGTTGTACCTACAGTGCAGGAACAACATTCATTGTAGTAAATATTTACTTATCATATCTAAAAGCTTTTATGATTCAACGTTTAAGGTAAAATGTTAATTAAGTCCCTTAATGTGGTAAGAATTAATTTGTCGGTGTAGTTATGGACACTAAGATGTTGAACTTAATAAATACTCCTAAGGATACGCTTCTTGTTTAACATAAATTACAAATTGAATATCTGGTTTTTCAGAACTTCTCTGTTGTAGGTACCTATTGTGCGTTCAGTATTTTGAGTCAGTCTTTTCGATGTAAACAATGTGACTCCTTGTTAGCAGTACTCACGTTACATTTTCCTTGTTGCAGCGATACACAGGGGCACAGAGAATCAGCCAACAAAGAAAGCCAGAGGAGATGGCGGCGGCGACAACGCCACTGGCGCACGAGACCAGCACGCTTACAACTGTCTCCTACAAAACGAACTTCTTGGTGCCCAAATAGAAGAAGTCAGAGGACCCTCAGCATCTTGTGCCGAAGGGAACAAGGCTAGTTTGGGGACAGCCCAGACCCCAAAGTCGTCGCAAGCGTATCTGCCAGTCTACAGGTTTAATGCGCAGAGTCATAATGCTGTGGTGAGTTGAGTTTTTCTTAGCAAAGCGACTTTTGCTTTATTGTAGATGAATGGACTCGATTAAACTTTCATATTTTATTCACTTTGATTTCTGGATGTCCACATTTTCTCCATTGTATACATACAGTATCTACACCCACTTTTCCGTAATTGTGTGCCATGTCCTGCCTCCAGACCGCAGTCCTTTATGCGATAACGAGATAACAGTGGCCAGCGAGCAAGGCATACAATCTGTCTATGGCAGTAATAGCGCTCGCCTTGTGCCAAATAGAGTGTGTTGACGTATTTTAATACTGATTCTAGTACATTCTGGGCGCGTTCCAATACGGCAAATTTGCTTACGCCTTGTTACCGCAAACTAGTAATTTTAGTTGAAATAAAAGTTACCATTTTTGAATAAATTTTTCATGATTACTTCGCCAATCTTTTGATGTGTGCTCTATTTACTCATTTGTAATGCCTTTGGTTATTTTGGCTTTCTGCCAGATAGGAACATTCATTTGTATCTCCGTGTTATATTAAATCGATTTAGGAATGTTATATGTTATGTATTCCCAACCAATACTATGCTTTAATATCCTATATTATTTCTGTTCACTAAATTTTTTCTATGCATCACACATTCACTTGGAAAATATTTTCCATAGATCGTACAAATATTTGTTTTGGAAGGGAATTCCACCTGTACCGCAGCACACACGACGTACCGACCGCCTTAAATTATTGTGTAGCATTTGGATGACCTATTTAAAGGCCAGCACTGCTCAGAAACACAATGTAAATATTTAGAAAGGAAACAGCACAATTAACGTCTCTTGTTCTACTTTCTACATAAGTACTCCATATTCTTTAAAACTCCACTAATAACTTGGAATAAATAAAAGGAATCATCATTCAATTACAATTGTTCTCAAAATCTTTTCAAAGATTGTTCATTCAGTTTCTCCAAGACCTTCTTCGTCTTCAAGCTTCATCTAAAGATTAGTGATTGCTACAATTGTTCGTTGAAGCGTGCACTTTATTTAATGCGTATCGCAACAGGTCTTTTGAGGCGAAAAATGCACTGTCACGATGTTTTCCAATGTTCGTAGATAGTGCAGTTTTAAGACTATTCTAAAATTTTACTTCAATACTAAATTTACTATAGTGTTTTTGCAAAAAACAAAGTTAATAAAATCTTCGTTCTGTAAAGTCTCACGACAAATGTGTTTCTCTTGTACAAAAAATGCATGTCTAATACATATTTTATCGTAAAAAGAATCGATATGCGCTATGTCTGCATGTTTCATCCCACCTGTGTCTAATTGCATCAAATATCTTCGTGCCAATGTAACGCGTTTTATAAAATGTAAGCGTAATTGGTAATTAATTCGCTTTGTTGTTTTTTGTGCAAACTTTGGTTATCCTTTGTTTGTCTGGCTACCCATCTAGATATTTCCCAGGTACAATTAATCCATGACCAAACAGCGTAGTGAGTCCATCAAAAAATGACCAGTTATTCTGTATCTGGCTGTATAAGTATTCTCTTTATAAAATTAGCTTGATTATTGTGTTAAAAAAGAAATGTTTTGAGGTCTGTGAGCCTGAATTTAGCCTTTTATGCCCTGACAATATTTATGGGCGCGTCACAGTGATGTATTTGAACATTCCGTGATTCGATGAGTTATTTAGACGGCGATTGGCGTATTGTCAAGATGCATTTGGTTTATTGCACAATAAATGTGAGTTCTTAATTTGATTTCGTATTTATTGACTTTTTTATAGCAGTCATTTCGTAAAGATTTTATGTTAAAATGACAAAAGTTTTATTCTTTTGTACTCTGCGTGATTAATGTATGATAATAATTTAGAATTATAAAGAATCATATGTTTCTTATTGTTAGTGGCAAGTCATAACATGACTTCTAAAGCGATTAGAAGTTGTATGAAGAGCCGAATCTTGGATGGCTTACAACGTTACCCACATCAAGTATGAAAAACCAGAAACCTCCCATAAAAGGAACTTACACATAATTGTTTTGACCTAAACAATAACCTCTGCGTTAGCTGAATTAAATTTGCTAATGCAGTTCATAATGTCACGTAAAGTACCCACCTAATGTGTGCCAAACACTGTTGTGACAGGATCCCTGGTCATAAGTATCCATTTTAAGTGTAAAACTTATTAAAAGTCGGCGGTCACCGATTTTTATTAGAGGGTTAAGTGTTAGTGACGCTGTATTGCCCCGCAGCCAAACAGAATTCCCATTGGTTTACCAAAAAGGTAAAAAGGTAAAAATCGATACTTTGAAATCGATGCATTTTTTTATCGATATTTGCTCGAATTCCATAAAATATCAATATTAGGGGCCAAAATTTAATTTCATCCGATAAAATGTCGATTCACTTTTTTATTTCATTTAGAAATTCTCCGTCTTTATTTCGAGTGCAGCAGAGAGTACTTATTATTATTGTGAATCGAACTGCAATCGTTATATCCGTGTACTTTACATATTTATATCTTTTATACAATCAAACTTTCCTATGAGACTGTAAGCAGTTAAAAGGATAAATGTTATTTTTATTAAGATTGAAGTTTTAAATCGTTCAGTCCTAGACTGGACTTCCTTGTTCATAATAACAGTAGTACTTTCTCATCTGCCTGCATCTACTATGCAGGGCTATGGATCAAGTCAATTGATGACTAGAATCCGGTTGCAGAGGCGACTTAGGTACGCTTGTATAACCGGAGAGGGCAAAAGCCTGTTCAATGTTTATTTATCTTTACTGTTGGAACGGAGTAAAGAAAATTCAATTTTTATTAATGGGACACTTGATCAAAATGCACACACTCATTAAACATTAGTATTGTACGTCATTGATTGATTGACGCGTGATGATGGACCATTGAAAGCCAAGTGTCAGACTCTTCAACACAATATGTCTAAATTATCATATAATTTATTATTTATTTAAGAGTCTGAGGATGTGTTAAATTTGTTTTGATAGTACTCGTGTTGAATTTGTAAGTGTTAAAAATGAAATTGTAGATGTTTGACATTTGATTAACCTTCAATCGTATGAAGAATTGGCTACTGTTTCTACATATCCGATTCAGTAATGAAGGTACAAATCGCTGAGTTGAGGCGGTACGATTGTAACACGACGCCCGTATTGAATGTCACGCCATTCTTGTTAAACTTTGTCATGCACAAACATACGTACTCACTCACTTATTATATGATAATCATATTATAATACTTCGAATATTGTTATTGAGTGTTTGAGGCATTCACAAAAACGAGTGCTGCACTTTAACACTTTAATCTTTGACTCGACAAGTGTAGTCCCATGTTTTTGTTACAACTAATATTAATTAGTTATATTCATCGACACATGAATTCTTTAAATCTAACATGCTTACTATATTTATTAAAAATAAAAGACGTAGTCAGATCTTAAGATTTTTTGCTTCGCTTAAGAAAACATGATGACTGATGGACAGCTAGCTGATAAATGCAACATCTACTTGTATATTTTTTGCTCAGTTTAACTTAGTAACAGAGGGGCGAAAGTGCCTAATAAAATGTTGGCAGTGCGCGCTAAACTGCGCAAGAGTCTGTCTATACGCTTTATGTGTCAATTATCACAGAATGGACGTTTAGCGTATGAGTGACAACAAGGATATGCTAATCAGCACAGCACCACATCCAACTTTTTGCACATTTTTTTTTCTCTTTCTACAATGCAAATGTTATTTGGTGTCTTTTTCAAATATGTACTCGTATTTATCCTTCTGCATCGTTTTTTCCCCTCCATTACATTAGCGATACAATGCCATTGTTTTTTTGCGTGTGCAACTATTTTTATTTTTGTCCAATCATTGGTCTGTCCGTCTGTCTGACATCACTCAGTGACAACGACCCAAAATAATAATTTATTGAAATTTTATAGCCACACAAATATTTTGAGTTTTTTAGTCCCTAGTAGAAGACGGATTTGGCTATAGTTGTTATTTAAATATATTTTTAATGTGGCTCTAAAATATAATTAATGTTTCCTGGACGTCGCATAGTCGTTACTTCGTCAGCCACACCATAATTAGTGCTTCAATATGCATATAACATGATGTGTTGCATGGTTGAAAAATACCATTTCATACCTACTTGAAAATAGTTCAATTACGTCGGAGATAAGTAAAAAATAATAAAATTCTTCGATATTTGAGACCTCCCAGAAATATTTGCAATACAATATTTCTACTCTAATTTAGATGTCTCTTCGAATTAATTTTTATTTTATAAAATATTTCATTAATATTGCAATAGGTATTATAATTTAGGAGCGAGCTGTAAAAATTTGTCAAAACAGTCTATTCAAAGCGTAATTTACATAGAAAATAATGACCACATGTTTACATAAGGTTATTAAAAGCGTCTGTGCAAAAACCAGTATCACGCTTGGAAACACATGAGCATTCTGTTAAATAAATAATTTCTATTAAGCTATCTTAATAAAACAGTGAAAAAAAACGTAATCGTGTAAACAGTTTTTATCCTCATGCATTAGTGGCTTGTCAGTTCGCACAAAGTGATGATGGTCGTGCACGACCCGCTTGCTGCGCCCGCGCAACCCCGCTGTCAACGAGGCCAAATTAAAAAACAAACGTCATAAATACTCTTTGATATCATACCACGGAGCCAGTAACTTTACAAATGATTTAATATTCATCATATGATATCGACAAGTCTGGAACAATGCAGAATGTATTAGTAAAAATGGGCGTTCTTTAAAACATGCACGTGGGAGCAATTGAAACTTCTTAATCGTCCATCCGAAACAAACGAAAATAATTGTCTATGTTAACCATAGATCACAGAAAAAAACACATAAAACCTCACATGAATTTCTAAATCTGTCTTGTGGTACCCACCCACTGTATTATCCTTGCATTATGCACTGAATACAAATTTCCTATACCAAAAAAATGCATTGTTATTTTGATTCAATTCTTGATGCGTC